GACCTGTATTGTTTGTGGTCCTTTCTTTCCTTGTCTTTTCATACTGCTCATGATTCTTTCTAGTTTTGTGAAACTGTTGTGTTAATGTTTTTCCCCTTATATATTTATATTGGTCTTGTATAGCTCCAAAATCCCTCTTTTTCGGAGAAAGACAATATTAACAGTTCCCAATATCAACAGCACATTATCTAAGCACAAATTTTCATTCTTAATACATTTATAGTTATATTCTAAGTCTATAGATGTTGGTTTTAATTACTACTTAAGAATATATTCATTAGTTTCATAAAAGGCTTACCATATCTGGTGGCATATAGAAAACTTAATTTCAGATGAAGGATGTTATACTTAGAGGGAAAGGATTGAGGGTATGAGGTTAAACTAACTTAGCATCTTTGGAGAATTCTAACCAATAGGCTGGTAATTTATGGAAGAATTTATAGATTCAACTTCCTATCTGTATTTAGATAGTTACCCTGCGTATAGATAGCAAAAGTTAGGAGATTGAAAGTGGGATAGAGAGAATACGAAAGAGAAAGAAGAGAAAAAAAATAACAAGGAAGAAAAGAGAAATAAGAGAAGGAAAGGGAAAATAAGATAGAAATAAAGAAAAAAAAGGGGGGAAGGTGGGGTATATGCATTTCCTCTATATTATATTACTTGGTAATTCGGTTGTTCATGCACAGTTCTTGGTTTTACATATGTTGAAGTTGTGGAAGAGAGAGAAGAAAAGAGAGAAAGAAAGATGAAAAAAAGAAAAAAAAAAGTCTCTCAGAACTTTGTTTTCCTTGCTTCCAGTAGATGACGTTGTCTATTCCTAGCTTGAGCCTCTGTATTCTGGGTGGTGGGTATAGCCAGTGTGAAAGGAAATGAGCTTCCACCTGTATCTTCCCTACTCTAGTCTCTGAGGTAGAAACCTCAGGTGCCTGTACAGCTGTTGTTTTGCGTTGATAGCTACAACCCCCAAAAGCTTGTGGGAATTTTGAGTTATCGCAGCTTAAGGGTGGGGGAGTTGGAAACCGGGTACCTGGATCAGCCGCAGAACGGTGTTGGAAGCTACACCCCCTTTGATGGGCTTTAAGGGTTGATGGGCTTCCTCCAGACCAGCACATGGGGCGGGGCCAGACTTCCTCCTCCGGTCTGGCTTGGCGCCAGGCGTCTTCCTCCTCCGGTCTGGCTTGGCGCCGGGCATCTTCCTCGTCCGGGGCTGGCTTGGCGCGCGGCGGGAGCCTTCCTAAAATAATTTTTTAATTACCAAGTATGTGTCCATTTCAGACTTTGCTGCCTGCTTTTGAATCTCATAGGGGACTTCCTATATATGTATCAGAGTTAGTTGATTCTTTTCATATGTATTTTAATCCAGGTTGAGCATCATTAATCTGAATATCTTAAATCTGAAATGCTTCAAAATAAAGAGCTTTTTGAGTGCCAGCATGATATTATGCATGGGAATTTCCATAACAAAAAACTTTATTTTATGCATAAAATATTTAAAAATTGTATAAAATTACCTTTAGATTATGTATATATAAAACATAAGGAAATCTTGCATCATAACTTTTAGGCCAATCACTAAGGTACATGCATCCTATGCATATATTTCAAAATTCACAAGAAATCCCAAATCTGAAACACATCTGGTTGCAAGCAGTTCAGAAAGGATACACTCAACTTAGCCTATACAAAAATGGTTCACAGCCCAAACTGAAACTCATCTCATCATGGAGTATCTAGAAAGATTGCCATGTAATTGTGTTTTGGATAATATTTGTGAAGATTTGATTATGAACAAACCTCAGAGAGCACTAATATAGTGATTTTTTTTTCATGAATCAATATCCTTTATTCACAGTCAGATCTAGGAAGAATCAACTTTTCCTGTTAACTGGTAGTCTACTCTGCCCCATTAATAAACTTATGAAGATCCTATTTTATTCCTAGAATAAAGTTCTTCCAGTTAACTTGACACTGTTCTCTACGTCTGTGCCATTATCATATAGCTGTGATAAATCAGCCCAATCCTTGTCTTTTTGCAGGTAGAACTCTGTACTGTCAGGATTGACCTCTAAAATGAATCCAATTTGCCAAAATCATCAATGCACTTTCCCTCAGCGAAATAAAATTTGGAGCACACAGAATGCCTATATAGGAATGTTGTTTCTGCAATACAAACATCTATTTTAGGAAATATCAATGATTTGGGGGGAGTACACCAGCAAATAGAAGAAGAAAAGCTATCAGACTATAAAATAAGGCCATATTCTTTTCATTATAAACAGAGTTGGTTTTCTTCCTGGGAGAAATAAGACACCATCGCTTCAGACAATAGTGTATCATTAATTTATATCATTGTTCAGCAGACAGTAACACATGTTCTGTAATCATTTCTGTACATAGCATAGCTATACTTGAAGATGTTGCCATGATGTTATAATGCTTTTAAGTCATATTGGACTTCTGATCTCTGTGGTAATAAATATAATTTAATGAAGTATATGCTTCATCAGAATGTTACCAGCAAAGTTGTGTAGGGTCTCTCAAGGTGGTTATGTTTGATAGCATGTAGAAGATCAGAGATTATTTACCAAAGGTAAATAATAATAATGGTTATGACTAATTGCTTCATTGCACTTGGAAGTTTTGGTTCTAGATCTTAAAACAGCTACCAAATTCTGTTGCTGGTACATAAGGAGAGAAAAGGAAAGAAATTTATATCAGGAAATTAGTTTTCTTGGAAAATATTGTTTCAGTATATTAGTGCTGAAACAGTATCAAATCTTTTGAAGACTTGCTCAATATTGACTAACCAATAACACAGAAACACTGACCAGAGTAGTCATGATCATTTGGGCTTTTCCTGCATTTTTCTCTGGATATTTCCATGTGTTACTTTGATAAAAAGAAAATTATGCTTAGATTTCTCTATTAAATCAGACTATCATGGCTTGGTCATGGGAAATAACATGAGGAGGGACCCATTGTTTATAGTATTATTAAAACAAAGCTTGAGAAGACTATTCTCCTTCATTTATGCCTACAGCATGTTCAAACTGAATCAGAGCTCACTTAAAAGCAGAGGTAGGATTGGGAGAAATCTGAAATGCTGGTGGCTTTTTGCCTTAAGACCTGCTTTAGCTTATGCTGTGAGTTGCTTAGCAAAGAAATTTTTAATTTATTAACTGGAGCTTTGTCCCTAAAGCCCAATACTAATATGGACCTTGACAAAGAATCTGTTGATTCTTTAACAGTGCTCAAACCCAGGTTTAGAACTTATTCAGTCCAGTAAATTTAGAGTGAAAGGAATCTGAAGTGAAAAATCAGAGGATTCTTCCCCTTTTTCTAGTGCTAACCTGACCAATACGAGCCATCCAAGGGCTTCTCATATCTAGGCTCTGCTGCTGAATAGATGAGTTTTGGAAAAAAAAAAAAAAGAGAGAGAGAAAGTGAGATTTTTTTCCCCCTACTTTATCTAAAATAGGATTAGAGATATGTGGTGTATTTGTGTGTTTGTCATATATGGAGATAATCTTTCAGGATCAAACACTGAAATGCTTAAAAAATTTGATCATAGCAGTGCTAGAAAAATTAATCACGAGTTAATTAACTTGTACTTTATGAAAGATGTGTAATTTGGGATAGGACAAAAGAGAGAGATGTTAAAACAGACTTCAACATTTTATAAAACTATATGTGACTTTATAGTTGAATAGTTTATATTCAAAATATTTTTATTTGTTCTGTCATTAAGGGGGTGCACCAAATTTTAATTAGAACAAAGAAAAGGTCCTTTGGGTCATGGTATAAAAATGACATTTGTGAAAGGTATAGGGCTGGAGTTGCTGAGAACTTGTTTGCAATTGCCTTGAATCCCATTGCAAGATATAAATCTTATTCAGAGGTGGAGAGGGACCAATTAGAATTAAAATAATATTTTAATTAATAAAAATAAAAATAAACATAATGAAAACATTCAAAGAAAATTTTCAAACAGTTCATCCATGCCTCTGTCACTTTGATAGCTTTTGTTCTAATTTTTATTTTTAGGAACTTTTTAAACTTAGTTCTATATTTTGTCTGTATATAATTTTCTGTTTTTCTTAATCTTGCAAAAATTTTCCATATATCATTAAATAAAAGTTTTAACAGTTAAAGAAAAATCTGTACTCTACCATTTCAGCATTATCTCTTCTAGTTATAAAAGTAAATTAGATCTTTAGTAGTTGGTAAAAAAGTATATATAGATTACAAGTAATAGCATAGGGGTTATTGCTAAATAATGTTGGGGAAGCCTGTGAAATGGTTACTACTCTGAACAGTTTTCATTAAAATTCTTAATTATGTGAAGAGGCATTCTAATCTAGTTTTATTTTTATTTGGCACAATTCTAGAATTAAAGTCAGATCAAATAGTTAGTGGGGTGAATTTGGGGGGAGGAAATTCAAATGCCTTTTCCCTTTCTCCCTCACCCTTCATTCTTCTGTCTCCTGCTCTTCCTCCTGGAAGAGGGTGTAGCGTAGCCTTTACATACTAAATTTCTCTGTATTTATTTAAACATAGATGCATATCTTGCTTTTTCCAAAAAAGGATATCAGGTGACTCACTGCCTGTAATTAATTTGCTACTTTGTATTAAATGATCTTTGCAGATTCTTTTCTCCTTAAAGCCACACAACATTTTATATAATAGAGTAAGAAGGAACATCAGCGTTGTAAGTTTCTCCACAGTAGTGAAAAAGCTTAGGCTAATAAGGGAACCACGAAAAGACTTAGTTCTCCAAGGAAAAAAGCACCACTACATTTGGGCCTTCGTGAAATCCTGCATACTATTTTGCATTTATACATGTATAGTTTCTTTGGTGACTTCCTATATTTGGTTTTAATTTTGGAGTAAATGAGGTTTTTTTGAAAGGTGGATTTATGTTATATTGATGGGCATATTGTCTATTTAAAAAAAAAAAACACTACTGTCTACTGAAAAAAAACACTATTTTGTTTCCACAGAAACCTGCTAATATTTTAGTTATGGGTGAAGGTCCTGAGCGAGGAAGAGTAAAAATTGGTATGTTATATCTTTGATAAGTCACAGTGTAGCACTCTTTTAAAACTTTTGCAGGCAGCATATTACTTCTAATTTTTTTGCTGTAATAATATGCATATATTCATGTAGTTCCATATGATCCAAACCATTTCTAGAGAGTATACATAAAAGTGAAAAATGTTTCTCACTCTTGAAAGGTGTCAGACAATCTTTTGAGACTGGAATGTTCTAATTATAAAACAAGCTGTGCAAGTTTCCTAGAAACCTTTGCCTTCATTAAACATAGCCTATGGAGGTGAGTGGCTTCTATCCCTGTTAGAGGCCACCCTCACCTTGAACTACAAGGGCATACAGAATGTTAATTCTACCATTCGTCGTATTTACCTGAGCCAAATTAGATGAGAACATATGCCTCTGTTGACCTCATCTAGATTAGGAGTTACAAACTTTAGGGAAAACCATGAGGCCCAATAGGTGCAGAACCTTATGTTCTAACAAGACTGTCTGGTAGTCCTTTACCTCATGGGAAAAAATTAATAGGTGTTTTGATCTTAACATGTTTTCTTATAGCTCAGTTTTCTTTATCTTAACTGGTTATTTTTTATTGTCTTTTCTAAGTTGTGTTTATTATTTACATTTAGTTTGTTTTGTGTGTGGGTAGAAGAAAGTAATTCAATTACTTTAATTAATTTAAAGGCTGTAGGATTGTGAGAGCATATAATAAAGTTAATAGTTCTTGCAGCAACATTTAATATAAATTAGAGTTTATAACTTGATTTGCACCACTTTAACAACACAGAAGAACTTGGGTGTTCGTAACCATTCTTCCCTATCCTCCCTTATAAATCCCCCCAAAATCTCACTTTCCATTTTTAATTAGACACTTGAAATACTCTTTTATAATGTAAACTTTGCAAATTGTTAGTTGTGAGAATATTTAGTGCTCTTCAGTGTACTCCACACCATTGGAATTTGAGAATTAGGCTCTGTCAGTATTATTCATCCTGTGCTATCAAATGCTCAAGTCATCAAATGTGCTTTTAAAGGAATCTGTCCAATTCAATTTGGTGGCATCAAATTCAAATGCAAGTTAAAGTAAGCAAGCAAAATAGAGAAGACCCAGCCAAAGAGTGGTTACAAATGTGTTACTTACTGTATGATTTGGGAAAACATTATATAATACCATAAAATAATCTAGTTTGGAATTATACTTCTGTGTAATGCGTAAGATTTTGGCAAGTTCAGGTGACACTACATCCTAATGCATTCACATTTAGGAGCTGTTAATTCTTTTATAAACCAGGATTTAGTAATATGACTCATGGTTTTACTTCTTTGCCAAATTTTTAAATTATTTCCCCCTCCATAATTAAGTTAATTAAAGGAGTGCCTACTTCATTAAAAATCTTTATTAGGAGAATAGAAGTAAAATTATCCGCTAGTGGATGAATCTTAAAATTTTTGAATAGGAGGTGTGAATAGTAGTCATTAAGATTGTGTTAGGCAAAAGCTATGTGAATTGACACTGTATGTGACACTATTAGGAATAAAGAAATGAAAAAGACACAGTTTTTTCCTTAAAGAAGATTATAGTTTAGCAGGACAAACAGCCATGCCTGAACAGCTATGTTATATGTTAAATTGTTAAGTGCCAAGAACTATATCTAAGGTCAGTACCAGTCTGAGGTTTGAGTTTATGATTTCTTGAACCTCAGTTTCCTCATTGAAAAAGGAGATGATGAAATAAGATGACCTTTTAAAGGTCTTTCAGCTTGAAAAAATTCTTTGATCTCTAAAATTAAGTTAATGAAATTTAACCTGAATAAAATGGGAGGAGTGTAGTGGTGTTAAAGTACTTCATAGTCAACTTCTGATTAACTACACCAGTGAACAGGCTTGTTAATGCAAATAATGGAAAGCCTTACTCTAACAATGCATGAGACCAGTACAAAGAATGGAAATGCATCTCAGCAATCCTGACCCTAGTGGTGACGTGGTAGATGAAAAGTTGCCCAGAGAAATAGAGTCTCTCTTGACCTCTGGCAGCAGAGCTTGTCTTTATCCCAATTGAAAAGCTGGGTGACAGTAGTTTGAAAAGAAAGAATATCTCAAACTTGTGTTATATTTAGACTTCTAAAGAGAGTAAGATGTTTTATGGTCACCCTCCCTACTAGATTTTAACAAATTTTCCGTATCTTACTAAATAATGGTGGCAAATTAGACTAATCAGACTTGTAAAAATTGATTTATTTAACTTTTTGTTTGTTTGTTTGTTTTCTTTTTTACAGCTGATATGGGCTTTGCCCGATTATTTAATTCACCTCTGAAGCCTTTAGCAGATTTGGATCCAGTGGTTGTAACATTCTGGTACCGAGCCCCAGAACTACTTCTTGGAGCAAGACATTATACCAAAGCTATTGGTGAGTACAACTAATTAAAATTCCATGTCTTAAGAGTAAAGACTAACCCAAAATTCCACTACTGAGAAATACTGTCATTAGCATTAGGAGTATATTATTTCACATCTCTCTTTGTATAGAAAAATAGATATTCAAAATTTTTAAAAATAAATAGGGTCATATTATGCATTCTGTTTTAAGTAAACATTTTATGTTTCATTTTACTTGAAAAGAGAAAACAGTACAATTTTGAAATCCTTGAACTTCAGACAAATGTTTCTTTTACTAAACAAAATATTAGTTCTAAAAGATTCCCCAAAAATTTAAGGAAAAGATTATTGTGTTAGTCAACTCTTCATCACTGTGGCCAAAATACTAAACAAGAACAACTTAAGAGAATGCAAAGTTTATTTCAGCTTATAGTTCCAGAAGTTTAGTCTGTGGTCAGCTAGATTCCATTATTCTGGGCCCAAGGTTAGGCAGAACATCATGGTGGAAGGGCATGGTGGAGGAGTGCTGCTTCATTTATGGCAGCCAGGAAACAGAGAGGAGCCAAGGGGGAAGGGGCTGCAGGGAAGATGAGCCCTTCCAGGGAATGACCCCAGGGACATGCCTTCTCCAGCCTTGTTCCACTTGCCTGTAGTTAACCACATGAAATGAGGATATACCTATTAGCTTATAGATCTCATAATCTAATCATTTTCCCTCTGAATATACCTACATTAGCACAGAGATTTTAGGGGTACACCTCATATCCACACCATAACAATTTTGGAAAGAAAGTAGAAATTAGGACATCATAATCCATTTCTCTTTACTTGATGGTATTGATTACTTACATATGATGAAGAAGTAGAAAGTTAGTGCTCTTACACTTCTTGCCTAATCTTAGTACTATCATGGTTGTTGTCATCATAGTGGTCGTCATCATCATCATCACTTTATCAGTATATACATTTTTTTCTCTGTTTATTAACATAATTCCCAGTAGTTTATATTTAAGTTATATAATATTATATTCATAATACTCATTTACCACCTTTACTACTACTTTTTCATTACTGACATTTTTATTTGGTTGAAGTTTTTTCTTGTGGTCTTTGTCTACCCCCCCAACCCTTATTGTGCATGTTTGTGGCCTCTTCAACTTACTCTGTATTCTCTAGGATGGAACGAAACCCATTTTTCTTTTATTAGCTAACTCTATCCTGGAGTCCTCTCTTGGCAGTCCAGTTGGCTGTTCTCCAAGTCATCCAGGCTTTTCCATTTTTTTCCCTCTGTGTTGGATCTCTTCTACTGGATCCCATGATTCCATACCTTTTTTCTGTACTGTATTCTCCTGTAACCTGTGTTGATATCTTACAGGTAAATTTTCTAAGTCTTATTTTTCTGAAGAATTCCTTTATTATGTTTAGTATTTAGAGAGGCTTGTAAACTATAGACACAAAATAATGTTCCCTCAGAACTTTGGTACTTCTCCTTTGACTTCTGGTATGAATGTAACTAATGAAATTGAATGCCACTCTTATTCTCAATCACTTGTGGGTCACCTGAGGGAGTTTTCCTTTCTGAAAACAACGAGGACTTTTCATCATTATATTTTATAGGTTTGCTATCCACTTTGTGGGCACATAATCTGAAGTTCATAATCTGTGCTTTTAGAAAATTCTCTCGTGTAGTACTTTAATTTCTTCCTCAACGTTTTCTACTTTTCTCCACCTAAACTCAATATTTTCATGTGTTGAACTTCTTGGATTAATCTTTTATACTACTCTTCTCATGTTTTTCTGTTTTCTCTTTTCTAGGAACTCTTTATTCTCTGATTATTTTGTGGTATCTTGTTTTGTTTTATGGAAAGAAAATATCTGTATACATTTGTTGGTTGTAATTTATAGTATAATCAGAGTAATAATCCGTGTTTTCTTTATAGGCTCTTTCATCACTATATACCTTGATACCTTGACCTCTTCCTTCCATGTGACAAGCTTTAACTGTTTGGTGACCTTCGATTTGTTTCTTTGTATTTAAGAATCAGGTTACTAAAAGCCACTTGATAACTTTCTGTACTTATATCATGGGGCTCCTCTATTGGTGATCATACTTCAGGCTTATCCAATGGGGTTAATTAGTTCCCATTACCCAGAGAAACCCTAAATGCTGGAATGTCCAGGTCTTTGCTCTGAGACCATTAAAAGACCATTCAGATTCCCCCAACTTTTGGATCAAGCTGTATACGCCTGGAGTCCAGTGTAATAGTGGGGGTTGGAGGGGGAGGTGGGAACCAGTTGTTCAAAAGAGAGGCCTTGTAGCTGGTATTTTGAAGTATAAAATCTTCCCAGTGTTGTATAGGACAAATGTTCTTCCTACTTAACAACAGTTCAGTAGACTGAGACCTTCATTGAACTATTTCTTCTGCCTTCCGTCTTCTGGAAACTTTTTTTTTGTGTGTGTGTGTGGTTGGGGGTGGTACCGGGGACTGAACTCAGGGGCACTCAACCACTGAGCCACAGCCACAGCTCTATTTCGTATTTTATTTAGAGACAGGGTCTCACTGAGTTGCTTAGCTCCTTGCTTTTGCTGAGACTGGCTTTGAACTTGGAATCCTCCTACCTCTGCCTCCCGAACCACTGGGATTACAGGCATACACCACCACTCCTGGCCCAGAAACATTTTTATATGTATCTGCCTAAAATGGGTTTCTGCATTTCTTTTTTTCATTCAGACCTTAGTCAAAATACTGCCTTTTCATGAGAACTTCCTTGATCACATAGTGTGAGGTAGTCCCATCCTCCCCCATTATACCTTAGTAGCTTTGTTACTCTGAATGGTATCTAGAGTCCACCAAAGACATAGACCTCACCTACCTGATCACACCAGAAGCCAGTGTCTGTCTGGTATGCAGCACAAACTTTTTTTTTTTTTTTTTTTTTAAAGAACTTAGTTTTCTTTGTTAGGTGAATGAATCTTGTCCCTGATAGTCCTCTTGTCCTTTTTGTTACTATGGACTTAAACTGTTATGATTTTGCTATCATTTTAATATAGTCTCTAGAAAGGAAGAGAAGTGATTGTGATCATTGTCCCAATTAATCTTGAATCCAACATGTTCACTAATCTGCATATCTGCTTGATCACATTTTATTTTATAGAAAAATAAATACAAAGGTAAGGTAGATATGGAAATTCTCTGTACTATCTTTATAGTTTTTCTATAAATCTAAAATTATTCCAAAATGATATTTGTTTAAATCAGAAGGAAAATTAAGAATTATTTAAGCTAGTTCTGTTTTTTCAATACATGTTACTATATAAACCCATTTGGATATCTTTGTTGCAAGTGTCTTCCAAATGCATTTAAGTTGCATATGTGAAGTAACATCATACAAAGCTAGTTTTTCACCTAGGATGAGTATTTCAAAGCATTATTACTTTTGTTAAGATAAATTAGTAGACTATACAAATAAAGAACTGATGGTGTAATTTTAACTCCAATTGACTGAACACCTGAGACTTTGAATTGATTTAAATTGAGTAACAAATATACTATCTCAAAAGCTTTGGGCTCTGGTTCATTATTTAATTATTTTCTTGTTTTTTTCTAATAAATTTATATTTTATGGGGAACATCAAGAAAAATCAGATAACCTCTTGTTCACCAGCATGTCCTATAGTCCAGCAGTTTTAACACAAGGTGTGTGCCAGAAAGTTAAAATACCAGCTGTTAGAAAGTACTGGGGACTTAATTAGAACAAATTATATCCCATGCTTTTATAATTATGTCAAAATGAATCCTAATGTTTATATATATAAACTAAAAAGAACCATTAAAAAAAAGATAGACTGTCTTGTTCCAATAGCTGCATAATTTGGGAGAGGGAAGGCCTATCTTCTTGTTTTTCTCCCTCTTCCTCCTTGTCATCAGTGTTAAAATTTGGGTAACTACTATTTAAACTTAACATAGGAAAAGACAGTAAGAATGCAAGTTATAGACTTTACCTTTAAGAGGTTTACAATCTAGTTGAGAAGATTATGTAAATATATGCATAAAACAATGTCATCTTTGAACAGTGGTAGTAACAAAGACCACCAGTCTGAGTTATAGTCTTAACAGTTTTACTCTGGGGAGTGTGTTTAGGTAAGACATTTATTCAATCATTTAGTCTCACTTTCCAAACAGAGGAATTTAGCTTCAATCAACTCATTGGTCTCCTTCCGCTCTGAAAGTTCTATAGCTAAACACTGCCTTCTATGGTAGGGTAGTTGCAGAGGGAACCCACTTCACTGCAAATGATTGAAACCAAAGTCAATGCCATTTCTTCAGCAGGGTGGTCCCCACCTCCTGTCCCTTAAACTTGAACTGTAAGCTAAGTCATTAAACCAAAGAGATGGAATAATACACTAACAAGATCAATCTTGCAGAACACTTTCCTTCTATCAAAACATTGACTAAAAAATTATATGTAGGTATCTTACTAATGTTAGGCTTTTTAATTGTTGTTTGAGAGAAATCATGTATGTGCCATTTAATAGGGGTTTTTAAAAGTAAAAAAAGGAAATTTCTTCCTTGGTTCCAGTTTCTTCCATATAGTTCCATTTCTATTATCTACATTCATTCAGTAAAGGTTCATTCAGTAAAGTACCCAACAAATTACCCACACCAGTTTTAACACTTCCTACCAAGAACTTCACTAGCATTTTGGCTTCCCCTTGTGATAAGTATGAGCAGCTAGTAGAAGAACCCTAGTGAACATGCATATAATTTGCACATACATACAGCATCATTAGGAAGCATTAAATTTCTTCTGGAATTTGGTGGATTATGTTAAACTGAAGACTGCTAAGAAGGAACAAAAGCATAGGGAACAGATATGGTCTGGACACATAAAACTAATGTGTTCCTACCCTCTACTCTATAAACATATTTTAGTGCTTTGGTCATTCATTCATTGTATAGGGTTACAAGCTGAACTATTAAAGAGAGGAAGTAATAAGTCTGTAAACATTATACTCCTGAGAACAAATTTTAGTTCAGTTTTGAATGTTTTGTTTTTTATTTTTATGTTTGCTTGACTTCCGAGTTCTCCTGTAAGAGGGTTACAATGATTGTCTAATTGTCACTAAAGCAACCTTAAAAGTTAAAAAGATGTGGAATTTTAAGCTCTGATGTCTGTCCTTAGAGAGCTAAATGCTCATAAATGTGTTACTTTCTGCTAAGTGAGAAATATACAAAATAGGGGAAATGATAATTTATTCCCTTTTGTCAAGATTAAAGCTTGCTATTAACATATCTATTGATTAAAATATTACACACACCCCAATTTGGGTATGTAGAAGGTGACAGTTACTTATCTATTTTGCCTGGTGAGCCCAATAAGTATATAGGAACATCATAAAGTTTGTGAAGTGGATAGGCTTTATTTGTTTCTAATTTGGAAAGACTTTTTGCAAGGAGTTAGGCAGCTACAATGAGCAAGAAAAAGATTTTTTCATGAATTTGACACAATCTGAAAAACATACGCAAGCTAAGAAGGGGCTATCAACTTGCAAAAACTAGACATCCGTCTAAAATAATAGACTAATCTGATTCAAAGTTCATGATTATTGTCTTGATCAGGATTTCAAAGAAGAGAAGGGTGCTGAATTTGAGAAAAAATGTATAGAAAAATTATTGAGGTAGGGCTAAACAAGGTTCAGATAACCGCTTTTTTTTCCCTTACTTTTTTATTTTAAAAGCAGTATAGCTTTAAAGATAACTACTCTTTCATCTTCCTTTACATTTTATGTTTTCTTTTGGATTTTTAGTAGCTAACCAGACAAATTGTTAGTGTATATTGGTATACTATGAGTCGAGTTTTAAACATGAAAAATAACCCATCATCCCTCTTTGTAATCCTACTTAGCTGGCCTATTTGGCCATTGATTAGATTCTCAAGAGGTGCCGGTGCTGTTGCACATGCCTGTAATCCCAGCAGCTTGGGAGGATGAGAAAGGAGGATTGCAAGTGTGAGGCCCTAAGCAATTTAGTGAGCCCCTGTCTCAAAATATAAAAACGGCTGGGGATGTGGTTCAGTGGTAGAGCTCCTAGGTTCATCCCCAACACACACACACACACACACACACACACAAAAAAAAAAAAAAGATTCTTAGAGGTCAGATTTATATGGGGCAGCCATGTAAAAAGAATAATCACAAAATAACTAGTTTTCACATTTACTCTCTGATTCTACAAACCAAATAACTTGGCCTGAATTTCTTTATGAGATTTTTCCACATGAGATTATTGGCTAGTGTGGTTCTCTGATGAGAAAAAATTTTTTTAAAACCATTTTCTTGTAGTCAAAGTGTAAATCTTTATGTAAATAAATGATTAATTTATAACTTTAAAATGTAAATATAATTTACATTAAATTAAATGTTTTCTAGTTTTGAAGTTTAGAGATTCTCATTTATAAATCACATTTTTCTCATTTCCTACTTAAGTAGTAATTATTAACAATAAACTTCAATAAATTAGTTACTTTTAAAAATTTGTCTATGATTATTTATATTTATCACTGTTTATTTGGATCACTCAGAGACTTATTGAGTATCTGCTGTGCACACAACATTGTACTTACTTTAGGGAAAATAACTTTGACAACTTAGAGATTTATTAAGACTTCTTCACCAATTTTTCAGCTTTAAATTCTAAATTGGCATATGGATCTTGCTTAATAGTTCTTTTTAGTACTTACATGAGAGAAAGTAAGGCTGTATCTTTTGAATGAAGGGAACTTAATTAGTTATATATAGAGAAATACATTTGCCTGGCTGTTGTAAATAATTCTTTTTAATAATTCTTTTTAATTTATAGCCTTTGTACCCATTCTAAAGATAGTCTTTTATTCCAAATTTTTGGTCCTACTTACTAAATACTTAAATTTGCAAATGAGGACACTACAAAAGCAGACATTGCTACAGCATAAATAAATACTTTGAAAGAAAAACTGTTTAAATAGAAATACTGTTCCGTTAGAATATTGGAGGTCAGACATTGTCTTTTTCTTCTTGGCATAGTACCTTGCTAAGACCCTGTAAATTAACAAGTAAAGAAGATAAAGAAAAAATCAGTTTATCATAAAAATTTGTGCCTGTTGTTTTTAGCAGGTGCCCAATTTGGAAGGTCATTTTGGGTTTTCTGTTTAGTTTTTGTTTAGCTTTATTTGTTTATGGTTCCCATGTCCCATATGGAGTTTTGTATGCGTTTCATATATAAGGCAATGTTTGGGGCATTTAAAACTCACCAGAAATCCAGCTAATAAATTTTATTTGGCTTAGAATAAAGTCCCTAGGTAGGATTGCAGTATAGTATGAAATGAAAAATTGGGGTGGGTGGTATGGGAATATGTATTTACAAACAATGTTCCATGATATTTAGTAATTACAATTGCTTTGGAATTAATATGACTTATTAGGGAAGAAAAAAGGAAAAAACAACTCCCCACCAAAATAAAAATGCATTTTCTTTTGGAAAGAACCACTTTATTTTCCTACTTTTTCTTTTTTCCTCCCCCCCCCCCCATTTTTCCTTTTTTTTTTTTCTTTTTATTTTAAAGATATTTGGGCTATAGGGTGTATATTTGCAGAACTACTAACGTCAGAACCAATATTTCACTGTCGGCAAGAGGACATCAAAACTAGTAATCCTTATCACCATGACCAGCTGGACAGAATATTCAATGTAATGGGATTTCCTGCAGGTACACAATATGTTTTTGTTTTTAAATCACTGTTATTTGATCTTAGATATCTTCATTGGAAAGGTGTATATTTTTGGCTGATGAAAGCTACTCTTACTCCAGTCTTAGTTTTTATGACTGCATTTATCAAAGATTTGTAGAAATAACAAAATTTGTAGAATTCACATATTAACATGAAATTATTTTCCTGAATTTGAGGAGTGTTTTGTTTTCTTTTGTTTTACTTTTTTGTTCTGTTGTCTGATATTTTAAATGATAAAATATTTGCAGTATCCATATTAAAAAGATGCATTTTATTCTTACCAGCAGAAACTCCAAAATTAATGATAGAATTTTTTTCCTGGCAGCATATTTAATGCTGCTAATACTTGGCATTTGAATATAAATCTTGACAATTGTTTCTGTGTAGAGCACTAGCACAATCACATTATATTGAGTAATAGTATATTTGCTCTCTAACCTTTGTCAATAAAAATATTCTTTAAAGTAATCTGTTAGAACAGTCAGAATATGGGTATAAGTCATATTACTACATGACAAATTAGCCTACTCTTTTTTTGTAGCAGGGAGAAAATTTATAGATGTCCCATCCTCAGCATTACATCTTTCCAACTATTTCCATACCCTGGTTATATCCAAGAATGGTAGTTCATCAGTCACTGAAAACTGCTCACAGGGCCAGAATAATGAAAATTTGTTTAAAACACCAAAATAATTTTGGCTAGTCAAATACTGAATAGAATTATATATTATTAGGGATATTCCTCAGGTCACTAAAACTCAAGACTAATACAGAAGTATCTGGAAGTTTTATTCCATATTTCTTAATAAAGTATCGGTTATCAATAAATGAAGAGTAACTATTTAGATATTGCCATTTTTTAAAACTGTTCAACAGTTTTAGAAGACCACTTTTTATGATAGGAAATTTACTTATTCACTAATTATTTACTGAGAACCTACCATGCGTCAGACACTATCTTGAGTAGAAAACACTGATATTGATATAGCAGATGTGATTGGAGGTTTCATTGTATTGCTATAAGTAGAATGCTTTAAAAATAGTTTAGGTTTGAGCAGATAGAGAGGAATAGCCTTTTCTTGCTGCTTGTAAATTTGTCTATTCAAATTTCTGAGGCCTACAGGGAAAGGAAAGTGGTGAGGGGCTTGAGGGTGCTGAAGGTCTCTATCAGAGATGCTTTTTAATGTAGGTTCAACAGTCAGTTAAGGTGGGCTCAGTTTCTAGGAGGCCTTGAAAGGCAAGGAGCCGAGTTTAGATCTGATGAACAAATGAGGGAGAATCCTTAGTAAATTCTTGATTATCAGATACATGACTTATGTCTAGAAAGAATAGTATGGCAGTGGAATGTAAAAATTAATTGAAGAGAAGTAACTGAGGTCAGGAAACCACCTGCTTGTTATAGCAGTCCCATAGCCAGAAAGTGATAAGGAAGGTGCCTACATGACAGATATATCATTTTTATAGGAGGTATGTAATTGAGGGAAAACTAGAAGATTACGTAAATATTCTTTCTTGAAAAGTAGGCAAATAAAGAAATTGTAGCAAGAAATAAAGCTAAGGAGAAAATTCCATTCAGGAATTCAAGCATATTTTTAGTTTACATTTTTATGTGATGATGTCTAAGTAGCAAAAACCCTAAATTCAAAAACAAACTTCTAAAGGCCATTTGAAAGCTAAAGGTAGTGCTGGGGTTATAGCTCAGTGGTAGAGCACTTGCCTAGCATGCATGAGGCCCTGGATTTGATTCCTAGCCTGCCAAAAAAAGACCCCCACACCCCTCTGCCCACCAAAAAATAAATAAATTAAGGTTCTGTTAGCTGTCTGGTACAGTGCTGTGCACCTAGTGGGCTCTCAGTAACATCCCACTGACGGTAAGAGAGAAGACAAGTTATCTAGCATGTTGGAGCAACTCCAATACCAATAAAATTAACCAAAACATATTTTATATCTCAGGTTGTGTTCAGGGATAATATTGAACCACCCAAGGTGCCAGCTGACTTGTTAATCCATTAAGTCCCCCAAGTTTCAATTCTGTATATATTGCAGTAAAATTGACACATGCATTAAAATAGGTTGGAAATCAAATCTAGAGCTTATATTACATTAATATTACTATAATATATTATCATAAGTATATGTTATGTACTTATGTTATATGTTATGTATTAGTTTTTATATACGTTCCACTTCTGGGATGATGGGACAAAAATGGGGTAATATAATAGTTGTATCCCACCCTGTTTTGCAAACAGTTACTGCTTACCTTGATTGCTAATGGAAAGCAATGTGTTTAATAAGGTGAAAGGAGGGCTATATTATTAATGAGGGGTGTATTTTAAAGCCACAGAGGTGAAAGATCTTAGATTTATAACATTCCTTCTGAGTGATAAAATTGAGGCAGATTATAGTAAAATATACAGAAAGTAGACAGTTTAAAATTTAAATTGTAAGTAGAGATCTCTCGAGCCATAAAGGAATCACAATGTATATTTACTATTCAAGATGTTTGCTGTTTCTGAGCATTTATTTGAAGTCTGGGCTTTCAAAAAGGTTTAAAAGTAAGGAAATGTAATGAAATGGAGATAACCTTTGTTAAAATTCTTAACAGTGGGAATTTAGGCAACATAAAAATATATCAATGTATTTCACAGATAAAGATTGGGAAGATATAAAAAAGATGCCCGAACATTCAACATTAATGAAAGATTTCAGAAGAAATACGTAAGTTGCAAAGAAAATGGACCCTTTGTTGATTTTTTTCTGGAATACTCAGTATAAAATTGAATATTCAACGTAATAGATTACTCAACATAAAATTACTCTAATAAGTAACTGTACTTAGTCAAATACATATTTTTCATGATGTTAGTCTTCATTTCTTAAGATATTTAAGTGATACTATAGTGACTAAAATTATTGGCTGATTTGCATATGAGAAAAAGAATCAATTCATTACTACTTTCTGGAAACTCAGCATTAGTAGGAAATGTCAAGCTAAAGAAGTGAGATTAAACAATGTTGCTAAGAGCCACTAGCCTATCCATGTAGGTTGTGTAGTAATTATAATCAAGTTTTACTAAGAGAAGAATGAATATTTCAATATTTCATTTATTTACAATGTGAGTCCAACAATTGGGAAAGTCCAGTTCATAAAAAGTGTATTTTGAACTTACTGGTAAGGTTAAGTTAAACTTTTGACCGTGTTATTTAAAATAATTGTTAAAATATAATTTATGTGAAAAAATACTGTTCAGTATGTTACTCATGAAATTGTCTTGCATTTAATCATTGGTATTCATTCAGAAGTGACCAGTGTGGATACTGAATGAAGTACAAAACTGATGTAAAGCTACTTTTTAATATTATATATCAGTTTTGATTAAAGAAATTCTGTTTGGAAGGACCTTAGGCAATGTAAAATTAACCTCAAATCTAATGTAAATATTTCATAGTATTTCTCTTTCAGGTACACCAACTGCAGTCTTATCAAGTATATGGAAAAACACAAAGTAAAACCAGATAGTAAAGCATTCCACTTGGTAAGCTTTAGATAACAGTACTAATGAAATGCATTTCCCATGTTTATCTAGTAGCACAAACTAAGGCTTTGTTTGATCCATTATATAAATTATATAAAATAACCATATAGGTTACTTAGCTGTTAAGAGTTCTTTAATGATACATGGGTGTTGTTTATGCATACCAATAAAAGCATCAAAACACTCACTTTTCCAAACTCATATCTGGCTTGACAAACTAATGTTTAATCCCATTAGATTTTTATAAAGGTAATGATTATAATAAGTCTGTCAATAACATTTTTTAAATTATTATTATTTTCTATCAGTATTTTAAAATCTCATAAAAGTACCAAACACTCCCTCTATTCAGCAATAACTTCTATAGGTTATTTTGCATTTAATCTCTTGAAAGATTGATTATAAAATTTTTAACTCCTAAGATATCTCTGATAAACTTAAGTATTAGAAGTTCAGTGCTGTTATGCATTATTTGCTTTTTCTGGAAGAATGTGAGAGGTGGTATATTTATCAGTGTGCAATGAAGAATTGTCTAGAATCTAAATGAATCTTACTAGCAAGATAATTTATGACAAGATTATATTTAACCTAAATGTTCACAATGAAATTTCCATTGCTACACTGTAATAATTGATAATGGTTTTCAGTTTTATGTTTTCAAAAAAGGGTGTATAACAGGTTTATAACATATACAAAAGGGATTTGGAGAAGCAGATTCTATTTTGCTTGACTTAAAATTCTTCATTCCTTATTCCCAAGTATTTTTAAATGGGTTGTTTTTGTTGTGGTGGTGGTGGTTGAGTTTTTTGGGTGTTTTTTTTTTTTAAATTGTAGATGGGCACAATACCTTTATTTTATTTATTTATATGTGGTGTTGAGGATCAAACCCAGTGCCTCACACATGGCAGGCAAGCAGCCTACCACTGAGCCACAATTGCCCCTTAAGTGGGTTCTTTAACCTTAAAAGGTTTGAACATGGCTTTATAGCAACCAGGTTCGATGGCAAACATTTCTTTTATTTCTGCTTTTTCTTCTCTTCTGCTTTTGCTTTCTATATCTTCTACTTGCTATTATAACAAGTTGTATTTTATATATTTCATATTTTTTCAACCATTTAAAAATCACTGCTTAACCTGTCATGTTACCAGTATATTTTTTCAAATAATGGTGTATATTCTAATGTACTTACAACCATACCCAAATTAGCAAGTTAAAGTTAGATTCTTCTTTATTTACTGACTTATTGTGGCAAAATGATGACAGTGATGCTAGACTGAAAGTCATGATTTGGAGGAATTACTTTTATTCATCTCTAGTCCTTGCCACTCATTGTAGTCTGAGGTGACTGTCACTACTATCACCCCTGAAACTCTTGAGAGAGATACACCTTCCTGATAATTTGTCATTTTTATTGGGGTGACCTGTCTTTAAATCTTGAGTGGGCCCATCTGAAAACTCCATTATACTCCCATTAAACTGCTGGAAATTGCAAATAGCAAATCCAAGTTTTCCCTTTCAACTCTAAGAATAAAATTGGGCTTCCATTGGAATATCAGATCATTAAAATAAAATTTGAATCTCGCCATCCCAATGTTTTGTCTGTTTTTAAATAATTTATGTCCTTTTAACCTCTAAACTGTGTTATTTCACGTTAAATCCCAATGTGTCTGTTAGTTCATTGGCTTTCCAAATGTGATTTCAGTCCAGCAGCTCACACATTACCTAAGGAACCTATTGAAAATGCAGGTTCTTGGGCTTCTGCCCAGATCTGCTAATCAAAAATTCTGGAAGCAGGGTCCAGCAATCTGTTTACAGAAGTCTTCTGGGTGATTCTACTACATGCTAAATCTGAAAAAACTATACTAGATCAAAGAGTATAAATTGTGAGACCACACAGTTTACAGTCACTTACATTGAATACTAGACTCAAATATTCTAGTTCTTGGAGCCTTCAATTAACTATGTTTTAACTAAAGTAGAAGATTGAATCTTCATATTTGCGTGGCATTTCTTTATGTAACAATAATAATTATAATAGTATTTATATTTATAATGCTTTCTTTATGGCAGACACCATTATAATTGCTTTCTATTTATTCATTTAATCTTGAAAATAAACCTGTGAAAGGAGGTACCATTTTTAATTTCCATTTGACAGATAGATTACAAAGAGTTGAAGTAACTTGCCCAATGTCACTCCACTAATATTTTGTCAGGATTTGAACCAGGCAATTTATTTCCACAGTCTCTACAAGTTGTATGTTACCATATTTATCTAGACTAGTCTGACACTATTCAGTAGAACATTTTATGATTATCTGCACTGCCCAGGTAGGGTAGTAACTAGCTATATTTGGCATTTGAAATTCTGACTGTGTAACTGATTTTTAAAAATTTAATTCCATTTTACTTAAATTGGATCTAAATCTGCATTGTTACATATGGCTAGTGTATCATTTGTGTTAGAACAATTTTTCCTTTTTTAGTCTTATTCTAAATTGGGTAAAGCAGTTTAGAGAAGGAAGGAGAAAAGATCATTGGTTTAGTTAGACAAGGCATAAATGTAGTTATTCTTTGGATGAGAATCAAATGAAATAATATTAGAATTACTATAATTTGAATTGCTGCATTAAACTTAATAATTAGGATTTTCTCATTGTTAATTCAGCAGGAATAAATATCGTCTCCTTTGTGGTATCATTCCTCAAACAATATTCTTTCCCATATGTGTTAACAGGTAGCTATAAGAACTAATAAGTAATGTTGTTATGATTTATGGTTTTAGCTTCAGAAGTTGCTTACCATGGACCCAATAAAGCGAATTACCTCAGAACAGGCTATGCAGGATCCCTATTTCTTAGAAGACCCACTTCCTACATCAGAGTAAGTGATAGATTTATGAATTTAACAGTATAATGGCATTTTTTGAAGCATTTTTTTCTTTTAGTTGTCAACCCTAAGTTGCCCCTTCTCTTTGATGGAGACGCAAGGAAATCCTTATGACAAGCAGAAATTGAGCTCTGCTGATTGAAGTGTCACTTAGGAGCTTTATGATTAAGAGGACTTCCTGTTCTCTTGCTTTATGAAAGGTAGATCATGTTCGTTTCAGCAGTAATACAGTTATTCAGTGACAGGGTTGATTATGCATGCTGTAACTCCTTTAGACTCACTGAGATGGCTTATTGCCTGCAATTATAGTTTTGTATTCCAAAATCACAAATACTGTTCCCAAATAAATTTGTGTTCCCTATACTATCTTTTGTTTTAAATGTAGAAGGTAGTATTAAAAAAATTGTCTTTAAACAGTGACAAATTTCAGCTGGAATCTGTATTTTTGTTGTAGTAATAGCAGAGTAAGTTTTGGGTAAAAGAAGAAAGTTGAGTCATATTGGATGATTATTGATAATTTTTATACAAAAAAGACTATTATATGGCCTGCTATAATGTCACCGATTAGAAGAAAAATTCATTCTGTCATAGTTGCATGAAAGGTACTTATATTTGCAAATGTGGAAACAGAGTTCATCTCAGATTAAAATAAAAACTACCTAATAAGTGAAGCATTTGAGATGCCAAATAGCATACAAATTTTTTTTTTCTTGTAATCAGTGTTTTTGCCGGTTGTCAAATCCCTTACCCAAAACGAGAATTTTTAACAGAAGAAGAACCTGATGACAAAGGAGACAAAGTAAGTATTAAAGTACAAGTTGGCAGTGTTGTATTCTTGACTGCCTTCATGACATTTCTGATGTGGCTGTATTTTGTTCTCCTTCTGAGTTGAACTTTGTTTTTCTGTTTAACCAATTGAGAAGAACCAGCAGCAGCAGCAGGGCAATAACCACACTAATGGAACTGGCCACCCAGGGAACCAAGACAGCAGTCACACACAGGGACCCCCGTTGAAAAAAGTGAGAGTTGTTCCTCCTACCACTACCTCAGGTGGACTAATCATGACCTCAGACTATCAGGTATTTAAAATTTGTTTTGTATTGACCTGCTATGTCAGTGTTTGCAGAGGAAACTTGTGACATTTGGAAAATGAGTTATAATTGAGAAACATTGACTTCTGTGTACATGAGAAAGTACACTATTATGGAAAAATACCGTCAGTGCTATCATAGGAAGGGGTAGACTTTTAAAACAGGCATCTTGGAATGATAACTACATCTTAAGCCATTATTTAATTGTGTGATATTATGTAAGTGATATAGTACCTCCTAGCTTTAGTTCTTTCCTCTATACAATGGGCCTAATAAAACCTAACTTGGAGTTGTCAGATTAGGAACAATGTATTGCATCCCAGTCTAGTCATTTCTGGGAAACCTTGAGTAAATGATTCAAGTGTTCTTAGTGTCCTTATTTGTAGAATATGGATAATGGTAAATTGAGGTTGTAGTGAAGATTAAATTGGAATATTGCATGGCTCATGCATAGTGGCTATCCTGACATAAGTGCTTAATAGAGGATACCAAATAGTTTTTTAATCATTTTTATTATTATCACCATTAAAATTCTTAGTATTTAGAGTATACAGTAAGTACTTCTTTGGTGGTGGTGCCGGAGGTGCTCTTAATAATAAGAACAGCTTGTTGAGTACTTATATTACTAAGTGCCAGCTTTATCCTTAGGTCATTATACTCTAGGAGGTAATGTTTTATTATTGCCATTTCAGGAGACTTAAGGCTTGCCTCTGCAATTAGCTTTCACAGGGTCAGCCAGTAAGCCAATGGTAGAACCAGGATTCAGATTGGTTGCCTACTTGTGGGTCCATCCTGTCACTTTCTTTGTGGAAAGACTTGTTTTCAAAATCATAACCACCTTCCTTTCTCCTCAGTTTATTCTCATCATTTGCCAGCTAAACTGGAAATAGGAAGTATACTGAAAACATAACCAATTAGTTATTTACCTAAAAAAAGATTACAGAGATCTAATGAAACTGGTTTAAAGTTCAGTACTAAACATTACTGCACTTCTAGGATTAGGTATTTAGCTCTTTGCTTTAGTTTAGGAGAGGTCCCACCTGTCACACCACAAATCTTTGTCTGCCTGAGTTGTGACCCTCTCCCAGTAAGGGACACAGCAAGGCATCTGTGGATGTTGGTATTCCATTATCTTTTTGCTCCCCGTCTGGAAGGGAAGATTGCACCTCTCTTGGCTTAAGGCCCTTTGCTTCTGAAACTCAGAAAATGATGTTATGCTTCTTTATTGGTGGTGGTTTTGTGGGTGATTTCAAAAATAGTATTTCTAACTATAGTTTCCTGGTCTACTCTTTTAAAAATGTTTTTGTTTTTTTTTTTTTTTTTTGCTAAGTTAGCAGAATTTAGAATTAAATGACTTACTGAATTTGTTTTGAAAGAGAGAAGTAATACAGTATAGCTAATTTGTTAGAGTGTTTGTCTTAGAAGCTAATAGTATGAGAGGTGCAGGAAAGAAAATAGTAATGTACAAGATCAAAAATTGAACACTCCATATCACTATTCTTTCCCTTTATGCCATTTTTGGAATTGAGAATATCACTCTTCTTATATTTCAATGATTATATTTGTACTTGTCTATATAAACCTGTAGCAGAAAAATAAGATTGAATAATTTAAACAGCATTAAAAATATTTCAGTGCCATAGAAATTGATTCTCTGGTACCTTTTCTTGTCATAATCATTTTTATTCTTTAGTTATATATGGGTGTTGGGAATGATTTCTGTTGAAGAAATGAGCATAGCTTTTCTTTTTTGTTTTTGTATTTTTGTTTGTTTGTTTTGGGTGGTGCTGAAGATTGAACCCTTGGCCATGTGCGTGCTAGCTAGGCAAGTGCTGTGCCACTGAGGCACATGCCCAGCCCTATTTCTATCTTTCTTTCTTAACTTCATTCAGGCCAGGTTTCCCAGACTGACCTTGAACTTGGAATCTTCCTGCCTCAGCTGGAATTACAGGGGTGTGCTACTAAGCCTGGCAACTGTGAATTTCTTAATGTATGCATCATTAAACTCATGTGGAAACATCTCAAGCAAATTAGTTATTGTTTATCAGGTAGACACTAAGCATATTAAAAGGAATTACTACTGTAGAAAAACATTTGCACAGCATAGTAATAAAATTCAGCTTATTATTACCTATGCAATATTTCTGACCTGATGTTAGAACAATTTGGGTTTTTTGTCATTTTAATTCTAAAGTTACTACCTAGCACAAAACTTTTACATCCTTACTTCCTGAAACATAATGACACTTCAGGCACACCCCAGCCTTGTTGGCTTGGGACCTAGCTACTCCTAAGCACCTGAGTCACATTCCTCCCTCATCTCCTTTCCAGCGTTCCAATCCACATGCTGCCTATCCCAACCCTGGACCAAGCACATCACAGCCCCAGAGCAGCATGGGATACTCAGCTACCTCCCAGCAGCCTCCACAGTACTCACATCAGACACATCGGTACTGAGCTGCGTTGGAATCTTGTCAATGCACTGTTGCTAATGCTGCAGGACTGACTGTGCAGCTCTCCGCGGGAACCTGGTATGGGCCATGAGAATGTACTGTACAACCACATCTTCAAAATGTCCAGTAGCCAAGTTCCACCACTTTTCACAGATTGGGGTAGTGGCTTCCAAGTTGTACCTATTTTGGAGTTAGACTTGAAAAGAAAGTGCTAGCACAGTTTGTGTTGTGGATTTGCTACTTCCATAGTTTACTTGACATGGTTCAGACTGACCAATGCATTTTTTTCAGTGACAGTCTGTAGCAGTTGAAGCTGTGAAATGTGCTAGGGGCAAGCATTTGTTGTTGTATGTGGTGACTTATTTCAGTGTAACAACATTATCTGACCAATAGTACACACAGACACAAAGTTTAACTGGTACTTGAAACATACAGTATGTTAACTCAACAAAATAACCAAGACTCAAAATGAGATTATTTTGGTACACCTTTCTTTTTAGTGTCTTATCAGTGGGTTGATTGGTTTTCTACATTAATCAGTGTTTTTTGACCAAGAACATTGCTTGGGTTTTTTTGAAAGTACAAAAAGCCACATAGTTTTTCCAGAAAGGTTACAAAACTCCCAAAGATTAATTTCCAACTTCTAAGTTTGTTTTTATTTTCAATCTATGACTTGACTGGTATTAAAGCTGCTATTTGATAGTAATTAAATATGTTGTCATTGATATAAACCTGTTTGGTTCAGCAAACAAACTAAAATGATTGTCATAGACAGTGTTTTATTTTTCCTGTTGGTGTTGCTGATTTGTGAGCATGCTTTAAGATGAAAAAAGCATGAACGATAACTTCCTTAAAAAGGTGCGGCATCCAATTCAGATATTTTGTCCTGATTTTAAAGCTGGTTGGTGTAGTGCTATTAAAAAATTTTTGTTCAATTAATTTTTCTTTTTTAACTTGTTCGCACGTTGTTTAGGGTGCCCTTACTTCAGCAAAGGAGAAGGAGTAGGAGAGCCTTAGAATTTTTGAGGGAAAAAAAAAACCTATAACATACAATGTACTGTATCAAACTATTTTACATGAATGACACAAGTATTCTGAATAAAAAAAAATTGAACATTGTTAAAAACAAGGTGTTATGTAATAAATTTATTTTTCATAAATCAAAATATGGAGTGACCTGTACTTTTTTATACACACAAAGGGCTTTTTTTTGGTTTTAATTTTAAAATGTGCCTTAACCAATGGCCTCTGAATAAATCTCTTAAGTTGTTTTTGATTGATATCTATATGTTCTGCCTCCATAATAAACTAATGTCTTAAGTCTTAGATATGGATTCTTCTGTTACGCTTAGTATTTGAATGTAAGTTGTTAAATACAGACACCTCCCTAATTGGAAGGTATCTTTGGAGTAATACCTAAATCATTCTGTGTTATGTTGTGAAGGACTTGACTATTAATCCCAAATAATTCTTTTTCCCCTCCTTGAAGACAAAATATAGAAGATTAAAAATAATAACAATTGTTATAATGGTTTTTTAATCAAAATTCAAACTCATTCATATAAAAACATTCTAAAACATTTAAGAACTAAAGAATCATAGTACTGATAGACTCTACCATAATAGTAACATTTTTTGTTTTGTTGTTTCAGTACTAAGGATTGAAAGCAGGACCTTGCACATGTTAGGCAAATGCTGTACCACTGAGCTACACCCCCAGTCCCATGGTAATTTTAGGGAGCTGAATTCTTGTTTCCATTTGATGTCTTTCTGCCCCAATTTACGTAGACACTGCATGAATCTGATTGTGAAGCTTGCCTGCTTAGAACCCTCAGAAGCTCCCTGTGACTACAAAATCAAGTCAAAGCCCTCCACAGTTTGGCTGTCAGTCTTACCCATTACCATGCGTTCTTAAGTCCCTTTCACTCTTAATTGTTTTCTGATGTTCCTTCCTGCCCAATTGCAATGGTTTTTATGCTCAGTGGATTTGAGAATTATCTGTGTCACTCCTAGGTTCTAGTCTCATAGGTTGCTTCAGTAGGGTTAGGTGGAAACATGGATTCCTCATTCTTGAAAAAGCTTCCCTAGTTGGTTCTATATAGCAGTCTGAGAAATGTGGTGTGGTGGCTCATGCCTATAATCCCAGTGACCTGGGAGGCTGAGACAATAAGATTACAGGTTTTAGGCCAGCCTCTAAATAGCTCTTAATTTTGTAGTCACAGGGAGCTCCTAAGGGTTGTAAGCAAATAAATAGCTCTAAAGCCACTCACCTCCAAACTGGTCAAAAGATTGAGCCAAACAGTAGCATTTAAGAGGCTTGGAAAGAGGGCTGCTCTCTTAGCAGCCCATCTCCTCTTCCTACTTGAATTTCCAAAAGCAAAACTATGTAACAAATTTCACTCCAGATATTAAGAGTGCCTAAGGGCTTAGGTTTCTGGTGTCTTTCTCTATCCACGTTCACTCCCTGATTGATCCTATCTAGTCTTGTGGCAATAAATAGGATTTTGACCACTAAATTCACACATCCAGCCTGCT